GAGCAGAATTATCCAGGGGCATTAGCAATGCCCGCCGCCCCAACTAAGAACAAGTGAGTGGCCTCCGTCGGAGGACATCTAGCAAGTAAAGGCGGTCCGACTGAGGAGGAGTTAGAACTAGCACTTTGAGCGGCTATAGCAGCCTCCACGCTCACAATAGAGTCGCGAAAGGTGAACAGTCTTCTAGCTTGGAGGCTAGACTACTTGCACAGCAAAGGCGACCACGAGCCACTTTGATCGCGGGGGCTGTCTTTAAAGGCAGCCCTGATGCAGTCCTAGATTGCTTATTCATAAAGACAACTTAGGGCAATTCTTAGTGTGAAATTTGAAGAGACCGACGGAGTATCTGAAAATGAGGAAAAGCTTACACTGCCATAATATCCATGAGAACTGTGAAACCAATGGCAAGTGGTGCAAGTGGGGTCGTCCCATCAACGGCTGTCAGCAATACTGTCTGTACCAAGAAGAATGTAGTAAGTGCTTCAGCAATAACGCCCTGAAAAACTTTGGTGTATTAATAGTGTGTACAGTAAATGTTCAAAACAGAGCCTATCCTAAGTGCAGTAAATTTGAGCGGACAGCTTATGCTAGGAACAGGAGTAAGGAGTTTCAATGTGCATGACTAGTCCGTGAAAGGTGCACTAGTAAAAGGCCGGCTCCTTTTCAAGTCTTTGAAATATTTTCGGTAAAGGAGCACCTAGATGGTCTAAGGCGATCTAGGCAAGAGACCCCCCTGGGTAGTCATCGGGTTCAGCGCCATGGAGGCGCGGAGTTTGAGGTGACGGTTAGGATTTTGATGCGAGAACCACAGACTTCGGCGCGCAAAACTTTGGAAGCGTTTTGGATTAGCGCTAAAAATCCCAGAATGAATAGAAAGGACGAATGCCTGACCATCACAAACGAGCTCGCCCCGTTTGCTGACCTGTGTGGGCTTCAATTGCCATCGGCTTCGAGTCGAGGGGCCAGGTCAGCTGAAGCCACCCACGGGGAGTCAGTTTAGCGGTGGTCTCAAGCAAAAACCGGCCGTACATTCAAGGTGAGTCGTTTTGTGGTTGTGACCTATGACAGGTTTCTGGATCCTTCTGGTCTGGGACTAGCTTATCTGAGGTTTGAAATGATTTCCGAGGGTAGTTTCACTTTGATTTTTGACTTTTTTCCAGGCTCTGACGAAGGCGATAAGGCCGAAACGTTAGCCAATAAAACTGTTATATCATCTTGGTCACGGCTACAGCAATACCCTATAGAGAACTTCAAAGTATGCCAAGATTCATCGAGGGTCGAACCTGGACACTTATTTTCGGCACCATTGCTGCTCCCAACGTTACCGCGTAAAGGGGCGGTCCGTAATTAAGTCAGTGAATCCTAAAGCCTTTGTTTGGAGTTAGGGCCATAATTTAGCGCACCAGTCGTTAGCTACAACCTTTTTAGCTTTTATCTGCCGCATAGCTGAAATCTGCTGTCTTTTAGAGTATCAGGGGAATGGAATCAGATGCGAGAAAGAACTTTATTAGCCTAAGCACGAGGTGATATCCTGGATGAGTCGTACCTTTATAGGACGCCTGTATATCATGACCACAGGGCTGACACCCTGTCTAAGGTGAGTAGCAACAATTATCGACGAAAACTTTGATTGGCTTTGGAGGGGCTGTCTCACTTATGCTTGTTCTTTTTCTAGTCCATTTCAATTAAAAGATGTCATTTTGTGAGACTTGTAGACTCTCGCAAAGCCCCGAAATGGTACAGGCGAGCCATTTGATCACTGCAATTTATAGGCCTTTACGAGGTTCTTTGTACTGTCTTCCTTGAGTACCTGTTGGTGCCCCCACCAAGCCAAACTGTGCTAATCTTATTTTTCAAAGATTGCTTTCTATAACGTACCTGAAACCACTGAGTATGAGGAGCACATAGCGTCGCACCGCCTTGTATAGCCACGAATTGATCGCCTGACAGTACACTCTGAAATTCGTTCAGTTAGAGAAAATGCTGGAATGAAGTTCCAAATTATATGATTTTGGTCACGAATACTCAAACAAAGATTCCACGATAATCGGATGGGCGGAGACCCATGTTTATTGTGCTTTCCTCGTTTTCGCTTCTACCCCGCTTGCTGGGTGAAGGCCTTAGACAGTAGATGAGGGGCTCAAGTGAGAGTGAGAGAGCGATGGTTGGGAGTCTCCGCCCATCCAGTGGTCGCGAATTCTGCATTGCGGGCGGACATTCGGGATATAAGGGTGTCGAGTAGAGTTTCATCAAAGTCTATAGACAACGAAGAGTCTCAGAATCGCGGACTGCACTCACCCTTGTCAAAAGCGATCCGATCACACCTCCAACCAATTGCGATAGGATGTAGAATAGGGCTTCCATAGGTGAAATCTTGCCAGCTGCCGCTAGCCCCACCGTAACGGCTGGGTTTACGTGACCTCCACTGGAAAACATTGTTATTAGGTTATTTTGGTTCAGTTCTTCCACTGTGACTACACTCCATATCCAGAGAGGAGAGGGCGTGGTGGGCAATTCATTTGAACATGCCGTTTGAACGTTTGCCGCTGGATATTTCCATCCAGGAAAGCTGCCCTTTATCTAGCGCTGGACACAGCCTCATTACAGTTGTCCCAAAAACGACAAGATAATAGCAGAAGCGCGGTCGCTGTCGAACCCGATGATGTAGGCGGTCACTCCACCTCCGGGATATGGAGCGTACTATAGAGGAATTTTGGCTACCGAGTACTAGTAATGCTCTCATGGGGTAGCGCGTAGACCAGGGTGTTCCGCAGTACCCTCTAACATGTGGTCTCAATGTCCACGCTATTTACAGGACCCCAGAAGTACAATGCTGCTATTAAATTTTCTGATTCGGTTTCGAGGTCGAGGTGGAAAACTCGAGATCGCCTGTTTAACCAATCACTCAGACCTGATCCTCGCAGAGGTGCCGTCTCCTTTCGTCTCTGTAGCGCGCCAGAAGTGCCCA